AGTGTATCCATGGATTTCCTATGATTCTCACAATATAAACAGCGATTATTTCCTTAAACAGCGTTAACCAGTTTATCTACGTAATGGTGAAGTGTAGTGTTTACTTCGCGGTACGGACTGAATTCTTAAATATTAGGGGTTAACATCATATCAACCTATTTATATCAATTATATATCTCTGCTATGAAACTTTATCTTAGAAGCAAGCTTCAGAACGGAAGCTGAAGCAAATGATTGATTTCACGCCCCCCATAAAGATGGCGGAGACAAGTTTTAATCTCGCATTCTCCTTTGTTTTTGTTTTTTTTTTGCTTTCATTGTTTCTTCTCAAGCTACTAATGCTGCATATTATAATGAAAGAGGGAAGCATTTTTTTTTATTTCCTGTGTAATGAACTGATCGTCAGTACATGCGCGTACACATTGTTGTCTTCTTCCTTGCGGATAAAAAAATAATCAAGTCCATTGTCATTGTTTCGGTATGCATGTAACGTGAAGGAAAGTGTGAGTTTGAAGGGGTGACATATGAACAATAGCCGGACGCCAAAAGCGACGAGCTTGATTTCAATACTTGAAACGCACCAATGAGGAACCTCGTGAGGATGTGGGGTCGTAAGCCCCTTCGATCTGGCGTCTCGTCCTCCTGGCGTTGCAGTGACTCAGTCGGCAGTCAGTAGTGTCTCCTCTTCTGACACAGAAGTACCTGCAACATCCTCATTGTTGCCACTTGCTTCAAGCACACGGTCGGCATCTGATGGAGGACTTCAGTTCCGTGTCCATAGAAACCGCAGCAGTCAATAACGTGTCCAGATGAAAAGTGTGTTCTGTTCTAAGAAAGAAGCTACATTATTATTGATCTGTGTGTTGGACTTTAACTTCCGAAAATATCTTGGAGAGCTTTGTAGTGATGATGTATATCATTGTAGCATCCACGATGATGTATCTGGTGAGTGTGTTACTTGATAAATAATGTCTTTGTCATGGTTACGTGTACATTAGTGATAAGAAAATTGGTTAGGTTTACGCTGTGGGCTTTGTTGAACGCTGAAGGGTATTTTATTTTCCCCGGGCATGGGGGACTTGAGAAATGAGTATAAAATTCTAGTTGGAAATTCTTAATACAATACACCAGTTCGTGATGAATGTAGTCATTAATACGTAGAACATTTAACTCTTTCTGTGTTACGACAGAATTTTAGCCTGTTATATGTATTACAATGCCATCTATTGATATTTTAGATTAATTATATTTGAGTTTCATAAATTATAATCATATAATCTACTACCACGACAAAGAAAGAAATTCATGTTATAAATTAATCTACCGTGGAGATGATTAATGATCCTTTGTCAGCTTCTGACGTTCGAGGCGTCACTTTTTATTTATAATTATTATTTCAATGTTGCTTCCGACTGCAGACGTTGGTCTATGGAGTGTCGGATGAATTTTGAGATTACAATTTATTTTTTGTTGACTGTGATGCGAATATTTTATGATTGTATTGTATTTAATACTGAGTGATAGATAAATTAATATAATTACAATAATTCTAAAATTTCTATCTGTTATTATGGAAAATGTAGCGAAAATTATCTCGCTTTATTAACATTTCAGAGAGAATAATTTAACAATGTTTTAAAGAGTAACATTTTGTAAATTGAACTCCATCCGAGGTCTATTAAGATAACTGGAGGAACAAGTTATTCGCCTCTTAAATCGGAGAAGTTTAGATTTTCTGGCGCCAGAATCTATGCGTCCATTTGAGTTCCGAAATGTATCGATTGGGGTAGTTCGGAACGTGTGAGTTCTCTGTTTGGGGGGGGGGGGGGGGGAACTGAATTATTTAATGTCGGGGCATGTTCTGTCTATCCGGTGTTCAGTTAAAATGGATTCCGTCTGATTTCACTTGGAGTGCCAAAACAAGGCCTCGCCGCAAAATCTCGCTGTAATCTCGACAAAAGTACCGTGATTGTTAGGAACGTCGCTGCTTATCATTGCAATATCAAAAACTTGCTATTGAATAAAAAAAATTATCAGTTTCATGTAATACATCAGCATGAAAAATATTATATGAAACCTAACCTAACCTAACCTAAGCTAACCTAACCTAAGCTAAGCTAACCTAACCTAACCTAAGCTAACCTAACCTAACCTAAGATAACCTAACCTAACCTAACCTATTTTTAAAGTGATATGTCTTAATAACCCACAAGTACCCTAATCTGTTTCACTAGATATAATATTAATTCATCGCTTTAGCCAATTTCTGCCACCTAAAACTGTGGCTAATTAAAGAATTTTCAACACTACATTTAGAAAACACGGCAGTGTTAGTGCGAGAGAATTTGGATTGGGTTTACTTCGCTCAGAATGGAGCCATAAGAGTCGGGGAATTTTGGTATCTAAGTGACTATCAGCTTTCCAAGAACGACCGCTCCGTGGTTTTTGTTAGCAGGCTACTTCTCAGTACAAGACTTATCTTCCCTCTTTTGTGAAATTTGAGGTTTTCACGGCTGTGAGGTTGATAATATTGTTCTTATTCGTTTTGACGACGTGTAAACACGTAGGTAGATGTTGACGTTTCGGAGAGACATATTGTCTCCATCTTCAGGGCTAAAGTCACTTCAGTGCCTACACAAAACCTGGCAGAACATTGTTATATTATTGTGTTTGAGCTTTGGTAAAATTCTGATATCTAAGGATCTCTACTATACGAATTTTTTATTTTTATAAATTATTGTACAATCATTTGATAGTGAAGAATGAATAAGTGAAAATATGAGGCAGAAAAGAGGGGGGAAACTTATTAATATGCATGAAACGCGCATTAAGTTCTGTCACCGGCTTTGCGAGTAATGGCATTCAACTCAGAGCCTCCCTCTTCAGTCAAGAGACTGAAATGAAAAATTGAAAAGCGAATGTGACGGTTGAAACAAAAGGGGATCTGGAGTTGGTTCCAATTGTTACCGAGGGAGAAAAGCGTAATTGATCAATAGCGAAGAAAATTAATTCTGCAGGGACGTCAGACACGCAAATTGTTTTAATTTCCCGACGCCCCCTTCTTCGATGAGACAGCCTACTGCAACGCTCGTTTAAATTATTCGATTATTCGATTGTTGAGAATCGATGTTTCAAATTAAGTAAACATTTATGTTCCAACAATGTCTCCCTTTATTTCCTGAAGCTTTCGCGAGACTAGCAGGAATACAATCTTCTCTGTCGCCCGCCCGAGAGGATTATATCACATTTTCCATTGTTCTGAGAACAGTTTCAGAATTTTAAATTGAGAATGTGAAAACGGAAACATTGTTTAATGAAGGGACAATCATCTTTATCTTCAAAAACGCGTACAAGGATATATTTATTTTTAATTCGGAGTTTTTATCTGATAGCAGATAGATAGATCTGATAGCTGACCTTGTAATCCTGGGGTCTCGGGTTCGATTCCCGGCGATGCCCGAATTTATAACTTGTGTTGGGAAAGGCCGTGGTCTAGGCAACACGGAGTTTTCCTCCGGGGGCTTCCCCGGTTTCTCCGTGGCATCCCATTCACACACAGAAGAAGGCAATGGCAAACCACTTCTGGATCATCTGCCAAGAACGTATATGAACAGGTCCCAGTCCGAGAAAAGGATGGAAGGATCCTGTTCATATGGACCTGTCGTCAGACAGAACACTAAATAAATAATAAATAAGCAGATAGAACAGCTGGTGTGATAAATTATTTGATTTATTCAACATCCTCGATTTGAAAATATTTTTGGGATAACAGTATATTTTGATAGTTGTTTACTGCTATAATATTGCCACTACTGTTACTATCATTGTGAGATCAGTTACTCTTACAACTTTCATGCCTACCAACCACCTACAAATTCAGTTCTTACAGGATGATTCGGGAATATGTTTTTATCTTCAAGTCAAGATGGCGTTTATGCTCGAAATGGCGGCTTCATTAAGGAAGATTGTAACTTCTTTGTTTTGGTTAGGTTCACTTCAATTTGTTTGGAGTCACATCTGACGATGTTAAATGATAGTCCGGTGACTTGCAAAATGTTGGTTGCTATGGAAAGATTGATTAATTATTCGACATTATCCTGTAGTATCTGAGGAAAAGTTTGCAATAAACAGTAATAAGACTACATAATTGGGCGAAGGAGATGATGGGTGGGGCATACAGCATGCAAGGCAGAGATCAGAAAATAATACTATAAAAAAAATTGAATAACATTTTTTTTACAGCTGGTCGTAAGTGGGAGGATAACATTAATACGAATTTTAAGCTACTTAAGTGCGAGTGTCGGCAAAACATTAATCTGTCTTAGAACTGGCTCCATTGGGCAATGTTCGGATAGCTAGTCAAAAAATTTCCTTCCGTTTATGGAATCCAAAGGTTAATTTCCGGCATGTACACAAATTCCCCGCCATTCGTTTTCTATCCTCAGCCAAATTAATCAAGTCCACGCCCTTAAATTCTGTTTCTCCAATATTTATAGAGCAATCCCATCTTTTCCTTTGTCTTCCTAGTGGTCTTTTTCTCTTAACGTTTTCCGAACACAATGTTATACGCATTTCTCGTCTCTGACCTTATTAAACTTGTAAGTATAATGGCGAAAGGTTTTATGTATAAATTGGTAGCTCCCAAAAATATTGTGCAATATTGACAGGACATTCTTTAGGAGGGGCTGAATAAAATCACAATAATCTTCGGTCAGAACAATCGATATGTCGGTGGCCGAGTATAAAAACCTGTACCCTCTCACTCAAATACAGGTCAGAGTCTTAAAATATTCAGCAAATTCGTTCGGTAAACATTTTTCTTTAACAAATGAAAAACGTACAGAAGATGGCGGGTTTATTTCATGTAAGTCGATAATAAAGATTCATATTTTATTAACATTAATATTTGACATTATATATTTGCTGTTCAGTGGTGAACTGTTATATTAAGGAGAAAATTCATGTTTCATGGAACACCAGATCTCACGAAAACAGTACGTTATTAAGGTTTTACAGGCAAACAGACTTTATTTACACAGTAATTCATCCGATATTTAGCTTTCTCGTTAACTAGTCCTTGTACAAACTCGTAATGCCTTTGTAGGAGCGCTTTGAAGCTCTCGTCACAAGCACTGAACACGTTCTGAGGACAAAAACCTCATAAAACGTGGATTAGTTTCATAACGAAACCTGTGTGAAGCAGCTTATTGAGAAGCTGACAATATCTCGGCTAGTCAATAATTTCCCAGTGTTTTATGGGACCCTGAGGTTAATTACCGCGTTCCGGTCCTTATCATGCGCCAGATGAATCCATCTTATTGCTTTAAGATACATTTTAATATTATTCTCCAAATAAGACCAAGGTTTATCAAGTGATCTCTTATCTTTAAGCTATCGTAATAAAGGTTAGTTCAGTGCGTGCTACATGCCTCGGCCATAATATATTTTCCGCTATGCAGCAATTATTTTGAGTTTCTTTTATAAAATTTTAATATTATAAAAATATTTCATAACTCGATCACACGGAAGCTTAATAAAACTACGAGGTTATTGAAGGTGTATTATATGATGTCCATGAATAGTGTAGTCTTATATATAATTATCATGTCTCTGAATGAAATTTTAATACAGGTTTTCAGTTCGATCACCGACAGTCCCCACAACGTCCAGACCGGTTCCGGGACACTCCCAGCCTCCTTTCCAGCCCCGTCTACCTAGTGTCAAGGTTAAAATGTGTGGAGGCGTACCTTCACTACTCAATACGTCTTCATACCTTTCCAAATCGCTCATTAAATTTTAAGCGCCCGCTTATTTAAATAAATGTGCTCTTATGCGTTTATCCGCGTGAATATAATGAATATCAGGGCAATAAATATACCAGAATCACAGACTTACTGGGTCTACCACAGACACACGTGAGTTCTCACAGCTTCAGAAATGTCACG